ATGGACAATTTAAAAAATAATAATCAATTCAATTTTATGATTATATCATGCATCGTATTATTACAAAATTTGAATGATTCTCTCAAAAGTAATACCATAGCTTAAATATCTAATAATCTTATATCTATGAATAGCTTGGAACGTTGTGAACGTTACAATTACATACAGTCGACTCTACTATAGTAATCAATAATACAATGTCGATAACAGAATGACAAATTTAATCATTTCATCGACAAATTATTACGTACAAAAATGTTAGTTAACTTTGCTATATTAAGTGTTGATTTTGAGTTTACTGATAAGAATATGTATAGCTTGGAACATTGTGAACGTTATAAATACATACAGTCGACTCTACTATAGTAATCAATAATGCAATGTCGATACAGAATGATAAATTTAACCATTTCATCGATAAATTATTACGTACAAAAATGAAGTTAATTCTGTTATATTAAGTGTTGATTTTGAATTTACTAATAAGAATATGTATAGCTGGAACGTTATGAACATTACAAATATATACAGTCGACTCTACTATAGTAATCAATAATATAATGTCGATACAGAATGACAAATTTAACCATTTCATCGATTATTATTACATACAAAAATGAAGTTAATTCTGTTATATTAAGTGTTGATTTTGAGTTTACTAATAAGAAAATCATTCTATATGTATAAAATTATCAAATTATATACGTTCGTATAAAATTATAAAGAAATATTTATATGCGTAGTACCTTAATCTAACTGCGTCACAAGAACGTTACTCGCCAGGATACCGATGTTATACTACAGTTAATTAGAAGGATTACCTCTCGCGAGCCTGATGTACGTTCGTACAAGTTAAACTTTATTTATAAACAGAAACAAGATGACTCACTTAAAAATATATTGGCTTCCTAGTTGGAATCAATAGAGAGGGAACGATTTGACCGTTGACGTTTTGACCGTTAGAAATTTTTCGAAAGATAAAATCCAAGGTTAATACTTCGTTGAGATTAAATTATTGATTTTCGTGATTGGATTCGTGAGTGAAGTTTTTAAAACTTTTAAGTGAATTATTTAAATAATTATGATTGTGAGTGTGATACCAAATAGTATTATCTTATTGTAAAAGTGTTGTGAATTATTATTCAATAAAACTCAGGAGACAAGAAAAGAAGACAAGGAAAGAAGCTAAGGTATTTTAAAAAAATTACTTATTAAAGATTTTAAATATAAAAGAAATAAGATTTTGCACTTTTTTTTTAGATAAAATAGATCGTTTTTATTATAAATTAAGATATAATATGCATATTAAAATAAATATATATTTCATAAAATTAGAAACGAATAACTAACCTATATTCTAATGTTCTTGATGCGTAGAATATCCGTACTTTACGCATCGCGATTCTGATTTAAAGTAAAGCAAAGAGAAACGAGGTTAAGAGTGTTTCCTCGCAAAATCGTGTTTGGACGAAGTCGGAGAAAATTTAATCTTGGTTCTCTTTTTCTCGTGGCGAAAACAGGTCGTTACGTTTCTTCCTCTGCATGTCAAAGAAAATTGTGTTTTTTACGTCTTTAAACATCTATACATTCTTCTTTTATGATTTTACCTTCCTTTTTTGTACGTAAAGAATTCTTTTTTAAAAATGCAGATACATTTGAACGTAAAATTCTTGAAAATCATTAATCGATATTGCTTTAAAAGTGAAAGTTACCATGATTCTAAATATAGTGTTCATTTGTGAAAAATAATATCGAGAATAAATTTCGAAAGTTTTATTTTCAAATGAGTGACATATATCTATGCAAATGATAGATTTAAGTTAATGATTCACATGATATTAAAATATTACTGTACCAATTTTAGTGTTGTATGAATAATTAATTTAAATTTATCACTTGTAATACATCGTAATATATTTCAATATTTGTAGGTTATGTAAGATAATTTTCGATTCGCATTATCTTATCTTTTGTTTTAAAACCTTCTTTATACGCTTTTTTTTCTTTTAACTTATTCGTGAGAATAAATTTTGTGATTTATGAAAATGATGCAATGGGAATTGATATTAATGAAACGAAACAAATTGAACGAAACAAAACGTTTCATCATAATGGTTCCCATTGATTTTTCTCTCGATTCTTTTTTTCTGAGTTCGAGAAATCTATTAACGATCGTTTTTATCGTAGATTGATTAATAATTTCACGCATGCATGTTGAAAATTAATTCGAACGAGATAATTGGTTATTTCAATACGTTTAAATTGGCAAATTCTTTTATTTTTTTATTATTTAATCCTTCATGATAATATGCCGGTTAAATTAAATCGATATGATATATAATTAATTTAATCGATATAATAGTTGAGTCATTAAATTTCTCGCTTCGATATATTATGTTTATAATTTCATTAGATGAATGAAATATTATAATTGTTAATTTATTAAATATGAAAATAATATTTCATTGATTTATGATTAAAGTAAAGATTAAATTGCAAAATTTTTTATTTCTTGCTAAATAATTTTTAAATAATTTTGACTCAATTATTGATTCAATACTGATTTTCACTTAATTATTCCATAATTTTTCTATCTTTTTGATATAAATATTAATTTTTAATCTTTCTTTCTTTAATAATAAATTATCTATTCTTTTACATGCAAAGAAAAAACTTTCATTTAAAATAAACATAACCAAATTCATTAGATTATAGAATTCATTAAATTATTAGATCGAAAACAATCTAAAAAACATAGGCAGAGTTAAATACAATTAAATCTAGTCATTGATATTTATAACATTTCGATTGATAAGGAATCACTAGAGTCATTACCCTTATCGAACAAACAAAATCCACCCCATGGATTCGGAATTCCATAAACGCGACAGGGGTTCTCATATACACGTGAAGTTCAAGTATCATGGGGTTAATGCTTTTACATTTAATCTAGATTTATTTAAGTTGGATACGCTTGTAATCCGGAAACGCGGCCACCGGCCATCCGTCTTTCTAATCTCGGTTATCAGGGAACTGCATTTCGTTGCCGTTAATCCGCAATATACATCGCGCACCCTTCTATTTTTCATTCACAACCCTTGCATCATTGTTAAAATACCATCTTTTCTATTCCACGTTTCTCGTGCTAGAACGAATTCCGTATTTATGTTATGGTATGTCTTTGAATTCGAATCAATGATACGTGATCTTTCGTAATGGTATACCGAATGATACTTCGATGAGATTTCCTTTTAATCTTTGATTTTTATTAATTTTTACGTTGGATCTTATATTGATTTTTTATTAGTTAAAAATTAATGCTAGATATTAATAAAAATTTTACTTAAATAAATAAATTTTTTACAGAGGATTAAAAGGATTAAGATCTTTTGAGGTTACAAAGTTCTAACCTAACTTTTGGTTAAGTTTCTAAATTCAATTAGTTATAGATATGAAAACAGACTGAAACAGGACACAGTACTTTGAAACACATTATTAAGAAACTGTAATACGCAAATGATACAAAAATTAAATTATTTCGAGTAATAATATATAATATATTCGAGTAGTAATAAATGGTTTTTTATAAATAAATTTTTCGTAACTTTTTTAAAGAATTTAATTTTTTTTCCAAATGTGTGAATATTTTTTTGGCTCTAAATTTTTTTGTATCATTCCTTTGTTGTACATTATTGAAAATTTTTAATGTGCAATTAAATTACACATTATTTCTGCAAATAATAAATTATTATGGAAATATTTTTTATTCGCATATTATTCGTATTCATATTATTCTATGAAGAAAAAGCTAGATGAACAAATTTTCCTTATCCTTTGTAGTTCTTTGATTTAATAAACTTGAACCAGTTCAAAGATTTTTTTTTTAAATAAATGGCACTTATTCGTTTAATAAAATCACAACGATGTTAAGTTTGCTTAGTTTCTCTCATTCTTTATCCAAAGACATTCTTTGTCTCTCTTTCTCTCTCGCATTTCTTTAATAAAATTATAATATTACTATAATATCAAATTTGCTATTTCTTTCATTTTTCATCTTAAAACATCTTCTATCTCTCTCTGTCTTTTCGTTTCTTATTCACTCATTTAATCACTTATCTATACACACTTCATTCGGAGAAACTCCACAGACATCTCTAGAAGACATTCAATCATCCAAAATGTGTTTATCTAGCTTTCCATGAGAGATTGAAAGGTAATTATATTAACGTACGATTGAACGCGAATATTAACAATAGTTGATAATTTAATCCTAGAATTTTATAGAATATTCTGACTCAATCTTATTCTGATTGATTATTGTAAATTCAAGGGTAATGTCGATTATTGCGGGCGGTGTCTTAAGTCGATTGATTTTCCTGCTGAACTTTCATCTTCTAACTTCTTTTATGTAAGATTATCCGAGCATAAATCGATGAATCTTTTACTTGTCTTCACTACATTTCTTTGACCATCGACCGTGGTTAGAAGATTAACGAATTAGGTTGTTTAATGAGCGAGGGGTGTGGGTCGATCAAAAGAGTCAGCCATAAAAGGATATAATCTTATGATTACCGATGTGCGTGTTTCCATTTTACGATCCTTATTCGTGGTAATATAGTTTTGACCCATAGAATGATAAATTTATGATTGCAATATAAGCTTAAGAAGATTTTCTTGAAGAAAGTTATAGGCGCATCGCGTGTTTGAAAGGATAATTCAGTATCAAATTTCTCTGAAAATTATATAGAATAGAATATTAGACGATGAATATTAATGATATGTTTAAATGTTTGATAAAACATTTAACAATTAGAAATTAATCGAAAATCGAGGAGTTAACAATTTTTCTGAATAAAGTTCACAAAATTGGAATCAATATAGCAAATAGTTCTCGTAATTCTCTTTAATTAATTTCTAGCAGATTTTCTACATTTATTATAAAAAAGAATAATATTATTATTCTTTTTTATAGTAACTTTTTATTATCTCTCTCTCTTTCTCAAACTTAAATTATTTATATAACTCAATAAATAATTTTCAACTAATATTTTTATATACTTTCCTCTTTGATTTGTCTTTTAGAATCGTCTCTCTATAAGTATTGCACGAATATATTAATATCCTATATATATATATTTCACTATTTCTCAAACATCTACGTAAAAATTTCTTTGTATTCAAAGAATCGAGCTAGACTTTATCATAATACATACATACGATTCGACGTCGATTTAAACCGGAAAAATGGAAACTGAGATGAGCGCGATATCGTTCACGATTTTCAATTCTCGACAGGGAGGGAAGGAAATAACAAAAGTCGTAAATAAGAGTGATGTTTCGAGGCGTGGCGAGGCGAAAATTATAACCGAGCATTTTGCATCAGTTAAGTTCGTGGAGGCAGAAGGTAGACGTGAATTATGGATAATGTACATCCACTGCATTAGCTCTCTCCGACGCAATTAACTCGTCGAGTTGCCCGCATTTCGCCATTTACCGTTCTCTTACGTTCACAGTTACACCCAATTTCTTTGTGTTCCCGCTCCTTTCATCTCGTGTTTCCGATTGGCATACTCTTCTCTGCTTCCTCCGCGGAAACACCTTGACTTTTCTTTAACTAATTTCCTCAAATTTTCCTTTGGATGGAAATATATACATATACAATTATATATTATGCTTATATTTTGTATATACAAGTTCATAAGATAGCATTTTTCTAAAAAAAAAAAAAATGATAAATATTAAATTGAAAAAAGAAGAGAGAAAAGTTTTGTCGTTCTTTATATAGGTGTATCAATTTTTTGCATTTCCAATAATTTTCAAGAAAAGAAGGTGATCTTTAATTTCTTATGAACTTCAAGAAATAGAAGAATAATTTAGAATAATTTAGAAACTCATTTTCAAAGTAAGATTATATTTTCGATATGACTTCAATCAATTTTCAGCTATGTAAAATTTTTAATAATATTGAGGTTTGTTTCTTTTTTTAATCTTTCAATGTTCCATACATCGAAATTCTGGTGGAGTTAAATTCATTTGCATTAACTAAAATTCTCTTCTCAACGTTACGCTTCATTTTACAGAAATCGAATCGCAGAAAGGTAAAAATAGTCGAAAAATCGAAGTGAAATTCTACCATGAAAATGCATGGAGACCATAAAGGTTCGATTGCCAATTAAGATCGAAAAGGATCGTTAATTCGACAGAACTCGAAAATCTGGGGGATACCTGCCCGCATTTCGACCTAACGACCACCATCTATGATAATTATTTCCTTGCGTTTTCTTTTTTTCGTATTTTCGAATCGAAGCCAGGATAGATCCTCGATCGGATCGATAAACCTCGTTCACGATCGGTCACAAAGGCTGGAAAACTTTCCGCGACCATCCATCACGGATCGATTGCAGGGTGAAACGACGAATTTCTCCTCGATTTCGAATCCCATCCACCTAGACAAATCGCGGCCCATCTGCTCCTTCCATTCCTCCATCCGATAGAAACCTTTTGCTAGTTTTTCAATTTTCGCATTTTTAAATTTGGAATTATATTTCATTCCTTCTTTGGGATTTGAAGCAATTTTCCTTTTGAGATTTGAAACTATATTCTAGGTTTCATTTTTTGAAATAACTTTCGATCGTTTCCCTTCGAAATTCAGAGCAGCACTTTTCGATTTCCATTTTTTTTTTTTTTTATGGATTTAGAACAATCGTCGATTTTTCTGAGATTTTCAATTTTTCTCCTTTTTAAATCATTTCAAGGTTTAAATTAATCTTCGATTTTCATTTTTATCGTTCGAAGCAATTTTTGATTATGACATTTGTTTGATTTTTGTGGGTCATTCCAATATTCTTCGAAGGCGAATACGTGTTGAATAAGGAAAGCACAGTTCGAAACGAGATTTATCGATAAGGATATAGTTTTAGATCGTAAAATGCGATAGTGATTCCACGATTGTTGGCTTCGATACGAAAGAATCTCAAAAAACTTGATAAGAGAGATATCACGGTTGCGGAAGTTGTGATGGAAAGAAAAATAGGTCGAAGAATTCGATAGCAGCATGGAGGTATTCTCTGATATGGTATCGAAGTTACAAGGCTTCTGTATAGGAGACATTAGGATAGTAAAATCCAATATCGCAGAAATTCGAGACCATAGGGAAAATCGTTGTAATCAGATGCAATCCAATGGACAATAAGATGATAAGAGTAAACCGAGATTATAGACCTTAATATCTTCGATACGTTGTTACAATTATTCCTATCTTCAACTTCTTCGATTGAAAAATTTTACTACGATAATTTAACTCCAGCCAAGTATCAATTGTATTTAATTGCATTTAAGAATCTTGTTACAAAGAAAAATCTTGTTGTCCAATTATGTATAATTTACAGGACGTTAATATATGATATGTATTTGAAGGATCGATTCTATAAAGTTTATGTACAAATATGTGAGTTGGGACTTATTTATTGAGTTATAAGTTATTTAAGTTTGCGTTAGATGCTTGTAGTTTACATAAATGAAGTTCTCTCGTATTGCTTGTATAAGGATAATAGAATTTATAATGAACAAGTCAAAATTCGATTCAGGTTTTCTGATGTTAAACTTTAAAGAAGAATATTCGAATGTTCTTAAAACGATTATATTAAGAAAATTAGAGGAAAAAGTATATGTAATGTATATAAGTTGTTGAGGATAATGTTTACGAAAGCTGGTTGAGTGACAGTCAGAATTAGGAGTTGGAGGATCAGTTATTTAGAGACTTCACAGTGACTGTCAGAGTTCAGTAACTGTCATAGTTACATAGAGTGTGTTTATAAAAGTTTGTTGGAACATATAAAATTTAATAATAATCACATTAAATATACTTGTTATTTTATTTGACGAGATGAAAAACTTGTAATCGATACTCAACTTTTCACTCAAATTTCGTATTCATCGCAATCCTTTTGATACATTATTCTGGTTAATAATTTAAAATCATCAGTAATTGAAAAATTCATAAATTTAAAAGTTAAATTAGATGAATTATTATCGAATTATTAAGAAAATTATCCAATGTACAAGGAATTCTATCATCTCTTAAACCCTAGATTTTAGATTTCTATTGACACATTCTATCACTTCTTATCTTAATCGTATTTCGCGATTCTCGCCTCTTTTGTTCCACAATCTTCAACAACTTTGATATTTCTCTCTATCCCAAATCCTATGGCTTTAAATAACTTTAGACAATCCTTAAAGATTCGACGCAACGATTCCGAAACCTTCCCCAACCACTTTCATAATCCCCAAGATCTCGACTAGTCTATTCCACCAGCTTTCCAGTCCTCGGCATCCAACTTTCGAACTCCACCATCTCTGCGCACCATTTCTCCAATTTGTGGCACCCATATCAAACCGCGTTATCGTAGAAATACACACTTTCGAGTAGCGAAATGTCACTCTATCGTTAACTATGCTCGGCTGCACAGCTGAACAGGACAGCCAAGTTGTCAGAGAACCGTAAACTAGAGGAAATTTGAAATTTCCCTCCCCAAAAAAAAGGAAATATATCGTATTAATAAATCAGTTAGAATCCTCGTTCATGATCATCGTCCTAATAAATCAGACGAAATCCTAAATACCACTTTTGTAATAAATCATCGAAGATCCTGAATAATCACTCTCCTAATAAATCAGCCAGAATTTTAAACCATTCTAATGAATCATCCTATTTTCTCTTCACCGCCACACTTCGTTTTTAACATCTCTTCCTGCTTTCTTTTCCTTACATTGTACACAAGAATAAAAATTACTTGTAATTTCGAATAAAAATTATTCCCGTAATTCAAGATTACGTGTATAAAATAGGATTATAACGTTCGCTCAAATCTTACTTTTAACTCTTCCCTTTTATTTCGTTCGAATCCTCGATTTATTTAAAAGATTTTTAAGAAAAAAAATTATTATTACTCCAATTTGTATTAATGATAGAATCTTTCGATACTCTTCCAAAAATTCGATAGAAGATTGTTACACAATCTTACAGCGACGTAGAACATTTCATAATTTTTTAGTTAAGTCATTGCTGCACAGCGATATCTAAAAGAATCCAAGTCCAAAAAACGCATCGAAGCAGCAGTGTTTGAACTTGAGCCCGTAACTCGCGTATTCTGGACGCGAGAAACGTCGGCTATATTTTACGGTTCGCCACTGAGCGTGGGGGGCACCGAGGATTTGAAATATAGCGACGACCCGTACCGCAGCCCCACGAGAACATCCGCCAATTTCTGGCTCATTTGTCCTGTCTTCGTTTCCTGGAAGACTCGTTTCGTTTTTAAAGAGGGAAATTTTAATCTCGTATTTTTCATCTCGACGATTAACCAAAGACGAAGTTTTAATTAAATTAATTATTAAGATTTTATGAATTTGTTTAATCTTTTTCTAGTGTCGATACGATTTTTACTTGAAGATTAATCAATCATTGTATCAAATATCAATCTTAGATTTTGTTTTTTATTAACGTTATATTAGTTTTACGTACATTGAATAAAATAAATGAATTTAAGAATTTTCATAATGAGATGTTCAAGGGATTAAGAGGGGATAATAGAGTATAAATTTGATAGATAGTAGGATATAATTTATCATAACTGGATAGATTTGCATAATAGGAAATCATCAATTATTTTAAAATTTTTATTCTTTTTTTAAGATAAGTAGATTTAATACAGCTTATTTTTCGTGATTTACGTAATGTATTAATTTATTGCGTTATATTCTATTTTCCAATCCGTTACAAACGTTCATATAATTGAAATGATGCTCGATGCAAGTTCAAATAATAGGAGGACAGCTTCGTTTAATCGGGTATTGATGAAAATTTCATTCCGATAAATTGAGTTTGGATAAATGAAGTTCCATTATCATCGTTATTATTACGCGATGCTGATGTCTACAGCTTCGGTTGCTTGTCAGATAGATAAAGTTCTATTGTGCGCGTTTCAGTGACTTTTCGACAGTTTTTCGAAAATTCAAGACTCTTTTACCTTGGATATTATAATTATTATAGTCTACTACGAGTCCAATTTTTCTCGAATATTTTCTCGCGATATTTTCAAATTATTCGTCGAAATAGTCGGAACGTTCCGGATATTTCGGGACGAAGCGCATGAATTTTGAACAGGCGATCATAGTCACCAGTTAAATTCGTCGAAATGAACGTTCCGCACCAGCTGTAAAGACGTGGTGGCCATAAAATGTGTGTTGCAATTGGTGTGCCGAACGTGAGCATATAAAATATAACATCCACTTTCTTACTTTCTTATTCCAACGTACAATTCCAGCTAGAAAAGAAAAATAGTCTGTTTTCAAAAAAAAAAAAAAAAAAAAAAA